CGCGGCTGCCGTGGCGTCCCCGGGGTGCCGGAGAACACGTTGGACGCCTTCAAGTACGCCCTCTCGCGCGGGGCAGCCGGCATCGAGGTCGATGTGCGCCTAACAAAGGACAACGAGCTCGCCGTGTTCCACGACGCCACGTGCAACGGCCACCTCAAGGGCGTGGCGGCGACGAAGCGCATTGATGATCTGACACTCCTGGAGCTCAAGGAGTTTCCTTTTTTAGCGGACCCGACGGGGCAGATACGTCTGCTGACGTTGGAAGAGTCATTGCTCTTCTGCCGGGAGAATAATCTTAAGATGCTCATTGAGATCAAGGAAATGCGGCGTTCCCGGCTTTGCGCGGACAAGGTGCTTGACCTCTACCGCCGCTATCCTGACTACATGTATGAGAAAACTACTGTCATTGCCTTCAGCCCGTGGGTGCTGTACTACGTGCGGCAGCGTGATCGTCACGTGGCGGTGGGGCAGATCCATTCAGGCCGTGCCCTGCGCTCGTGGATTAGCTCGGGTATTGTGGACGTGCCCTGGTATGTGCGGCTTTGTCCTGCCGTGCTGGACTGGTTGCTGAATTACGTGCAAGAGAGCATCAGCCCGTGGGTCTCTGGTGTATCATTGGTGCTTCCGCGCTACGATCTCTTCTCTGACACATACAAACGCCGCTGGCACACGCGGAAGATCGGCGTCGCAGTCTGGGGCTTCACGAGTCCCGCGCAGTGCACACGAGAGATGCGCTGCCCAGGAGTACTTATCGAATGCGACGACAACCACGAAGAGTACGCTGCGCCAAAGCAGCCGCCGAACTTTGATATATTTGGTGACAGANCCCGTGAGCGAGAGCGTGAAGAGGAGGAGCAGCGGCGGCGACTGAAGTTGGGTGGTGAGTGAAGCAAAAGAAAACATACATAAATATATAGAGAGAGAAAGAGTGGAGATGGGGGAGTGGGATATGGTCAGCAAGGGGGTCATCTACTTTTAGTAGTTGTTGACAATGCTGCTGTTGTTGATGCTGGAGGTGGGGGGAGGGGAAGGGGGAGGGGGTGCTAATTTCTTTCGCTTAGCGTGCCGCGCCTTGCGAAGTCAGTGTATCAATGGGACTTGGCCCATGGCTACTGTATTTATATATAGTGTAGAACCAGTTGGGAATTGGCCCCGTGGACGCAAGAAGAGGCACCTGTTTCATGAATCACACAGCCTGCCTTTTCAGATGGAAGAGGGAGCTTTATTACTGTGCACTGCGCTGTCATCCCGCACTTGGTATCCACTGTTTATCTCTCCCTTCTGTTGTGTCACTTCCACATTTCCCATCTTCCTCCTCAATAATAACAATAATAAAACGAAACAAAAAGGTCTACCACATCTGGGTTGCCCATGGGAATTAGTCCCTCGGCGCCTGCATGCATCCCACGTCCCTCTCTCCCTTCTCCAGTGGTCTCGCGCTACGCGTTCTTTGATGACGATGACGATAACGACAGCGGCGGGCTGTCGGGGGAACGGTCCATGATTGGGCGCGCGCCGCAGAGCCAAATGATCCTTGAGTGGCAGGAGGGAGTGCCAGATGCGCGGGAGTTGGAGGCAATCCCGACGGTGGAGATCGTGTCTGACGGTGAGGCGGAGGCCATTGCGTGGGACATGTCCGTTAGCGCCTACAACAATTTATCGAATGACGTGGATGATAAGGTGCACTACGTCTCTGCCATTTTGCTCAAAACGCCGAACCCCTCGCTTGCCAAGAGGAAAAAAGAAAGAGTCTCTTGCATGAGCTGCAGTTGAAGTTATATAACATGGCTCCTTTTTGTTTTTGTCCCACTGTAGATTTCGTTGCGTAAACACAAACCCCTTCCTTATGGTGGTTTGGTCCACATTCATATTCCCCTTTCAACTTGAGTGGAGGCTTGGCTCAGAGGCCTTCCCCGCGCAAGCCTGTTTCGTATAGTGTGTGTGTGTGTGTGTGTGTAAAATGGGGTTGTTTTGCCTCTGCAACGGCAGATGCGAGCGATGTCAGAGTTGTCCAAGTGGAGCTGGGTGTCTGCATTGCGCCTTGAATCCACCAACCGCTGAGTGTCCTCACTCTCACTCTCTCTCCCTGTCTGTATGCATATATGTATGTGCATGTGTGTTTATATGCATTTAATTATACACGTTTCTTTTTGTTGTTGTTTCCATTCTCCAACACCCCGTGAATTGTTCTTGTTGTTGTTGCTTCGCTAAGACCGCTGAACGCTTGTCGCGCCGTATCCCTCGTGCTACTGCTGCTGTCCCGCGAATGGGGTCACATGATGACGCGGCGTCCACTGCTGCCCGTGACACCCTGCACCGCACGCTCTACCTGCGCAGAGAGTACGCCCTCGTCGTGCAGTGCGGAGAATTCGACGACGTTCTGCTGGTGCCGCCCCAGGGCGACTGCTGGGGGCAAAGCAGCTGGTGGCGCGGTTTGGTTTTCGTGCGCAACTTCCCGTCGCCGTGGTACCGTGGGGCCTTCACGTTCTTTGTGCGACTGCCGCCGAAATACCCCTTCGAATGCCCGACGGTCTGTATGGAGGCACCTCTTAAGAGCCACCCTCTGCTGCAGGAGGACGGCGATGGAAGGAAATGCGTCATTCCCTTCGACGACGTCTACGTGGGGCTCGACCCGATGCGCGTGTCGGTGATGGCGCGGCTGTTGCACCACGTGCGTGCTATGTTTTACCCCACCGATTGGCCAGCGGTGGTGCCCGTGAACAGAGCGCTCGCCCGCTACGACGTGGAGCGGCGAAGTGTCACCCAGGAGGTGGTGCTTGGGAAGCCGTACGTGGACTACTTGTCGCGGGAAGCGGTGGCGTTTTTCACGGGGACGAAGTACTTCGACGATACCGGCGAGACTCGCACAGATGCGGAAGCGGTGACATCGCAGAAGAACAATGAAAAGGCATTCTCGCTCTGGCTTGGTCGTTCGTGGCTCCCCGCGGTGCGGCTTCTACAGTGATCATCATTGTTTCCATATCGCTGGGGGTAAGAATGGCTGCGGGTGGTGCATGATATTGTGTGCATGTGCGGGTGGGCAATGGGGCTGCTGTGTTGTCTGTTCATAACTTTACTGCGTGTGTGTACCCTCGCTTCTCTCCCCTTGCGCGTGGCTCCACGTATGCACACACAATATATTAACTAGGTGGGAACAGCAGGCAGCGTGGGTGGAGAAGAAGAAAAGGATGGCCTCGGTGCAATCCAACTGCAGTGCGTCCTCCCGACTGCAGAAGGAGTTCATGGAGCTCATGATGGGCGGGGCTGAGGGCATTTCTGCCTTCCCGCAGAACGACAATCTCTTCCACTGGATCGGCACCGTGCAGGGCGTGCCCAATACCGTCTATGAGGGCCTCGAGTTCCAGCTCTCCCTCATCTTCTCGGCGAACTACCCGTTCGAGGCGCCAGTCGTGCGATTTCTCACGCCGTGCTTCCATCCGAACGTTGACGCACACGGTGGGATCTGCCTTGACATCCTCAAGGAGAAGTGGAGCGCTGTCTACACCGTGTCAAAGATCCTCCTGTCCATCCAGAGCCTCCTCGATAACCCGAACAATCATTCGCCTCTCAACAACCGCGCTGCGGGGCTTTGGTACAACAAGGAGGCGTACCGCTGCGAAGTCCTCCTCGCGTATAAAGACGCGAAGCCAAACGCGTCGTGATGGCGTGCTGACTCCGGCAGTAACGGAGAAGAAGTCAAGAGAGTTCACCTCAGTATGTGTGGGATGAGACAAGCAAAGTGTGTATGCTGCTAGAGCGTAAGATGAAGGAAGAAAAAACCGAAAGGGCAAACAAGAAGACAAGCAGAGGATAAGGAAAAGAACTGATGAAGAAGAATGTGCATGGGCAGTGCGGGGTTCTCTTTCTGGTAAAAAAAAAAAGAACGAAACAGGAACCGTCACGATCTGCGCAGTATCGCCCAGACCCAGGAACCCGCTGCGTTGCTGTTATTTTCTGTATTTGGTCTTGTGCGCCACAACGATTCATTCTGTCGTGTTACACAAGAAGTTCTATGTGTGTGTGTGTCTGTGTGCGTTTGTTGCCCTGTAGACACTATTGAGTCTCCGCCCTTCCCTGTTGTCTTCTGCCCTGTGTATTCTTGTGTGGTATGTCTCTTTTTCGCGTCCACGTCAGCTTTGCGTCGGTAATAGTCCCTCTTCCTTTCTTTCCCCCTTCTCCTGCTCCTGCTGCTGCTGCTGCTGCTGCTGGATTGCACACGCCCAGTAGTATTTAAAGGCCTCATGTCGTCGCCTAGCCAGTACGTCCAACAGATAGAGAAGTTACAGAATGAGCGTGATGAGTTGCTGGTCTACGCCCTGCAGAACCCCCCACCGTATATAACAATTGTCTTGCCACCTGGGGTGAATTCCGTCTCGGAACTTGACCTGACCCGTACGTCGAGCCCGCTCCCCCTTTACGCTAGCGCAAACCCGGCGAAACCGATGGAAATAAGACTGCAGAGTCCTTCAATTGCACTGAAAGTAGTGGAAGGCAAGCACAATAACAACTACCCTAATGACGGAAGTTGTGTCGTCAACAATAGCATCCGTAACAACAAGAAGCACATATCTTTAAAAGGCTTCACCAGCTTCTTAGAGAATCTGCTTCGAGGCGTGCAGCACGGTGTCTCCCGAGACCCATCAACGGAGGCTTTTACCGAGAAAAACATGGATGTCGGTGAGACCAACAGCACCACACAGGGAGTCCAAGAGATGTGTTATTGCAGCAAGAGAGTAGCAACGAGTGTGGGTGGTGTTCAGCGTCGAGAACCGTTGCCAATTGAGGGCACACAGGAGTGCACACTCGCCGAGTACATTGCTCCATACGTCTCAAAAGACGGGTTTCTTCCATACGACCCGATGCGGTCTCCAGAACCTCCATTGATTGAATTTTGTCCTCTTATCTGTAATGATATACTCACCGAACTTGATGACAATGATGAGTACGTGCTGTTGGTTTACGAGCACCTGTTGCTCAGTGTTGACCTTCTCCGTGATGCAGACCACACACGGTATGAAGAGGAGGTGCGTTGTGGATTTCAGAAGGTTTTTGAAATCAGCGACGAGCAGCACCAGCGCAGCCTGTGCAATCTTGCTCAAGGGGCAAATGAAGAACACGTTGCGGTGACGTATATTAGTGTTCCCACTGTTCGGCGTCTCATTAGGTCAAGCACAGACAAGGGATTTGTGGGGCGAATGCAAAAGATTCTACGCGCCTGCAGTGGGCACCCTGATGTGCCCGAGCAAACTGAATACCCATTGGCACTACGCGCCTTTCTCTACGCGGGGGCGTTGTGCCCGCTTTACAAGTTTGACAGGCACCACGCCGACGGGACAATGCTGCAGGAGGAACAGGTGCGCAACACCCTTGCTGCGCTACGTAGCAAACTTAACATCTGCAGCAGCCTCGACCCATTCTGCCACCTCCATGCACGTCTCCTCTCAGCAGAAGAAGGATTTGCAATTAAGAGGCAGCATGCCTTCCTCAAAGGGGTTACGTCGGCGGTGAGCGCACTCTCAGAATCGGCACAGTCACTCGGCAAGAAATCACTCACACCCGAGACAAAGTGGAAACTGTACATCCTGCAGGAAACATTCGAGATGTGCTCCACATCCATGACTCTGCTTGGTGCCGTTAGATCGGATAGCGCTTTTCTTGGAGTCTCCGCTCTGTTCTTTGAGTCGTGTCTCTCTTTGCCACCGGAGTTTCTCTCCGCTTACGTTCGAGTAGAGGGTGGAGACTTGCTGCCACCGACAAGCTCCGTGAACGACTTCCTCTTAACCTTACTTATGATGTTCACTACGTCTGGTGTCTTGCGCAACTACAGTGATGCAAAGTATAGAGTTGGACCTGCCGGAACACCAGAGCAGCTGCTGGAGGAATTGGGTGATGTGGACAAGCGGGTGCGGACGTTTTGCAGGATGCTTTCACACAGCATAGAGCACGCTGCTGTCTTTGTTGTGCCCGGCGTTGCGGCTGTGGCGTCGCACGTAATTGCAGAGTACTGGAGAAGGTCTAACACCAACCGTGAGATCCCGTATGACTTTGTTGAGGGGGTCCACGCCTTGGTCATATTTCTGGTGAAGTACGCGCCCCCCGGTGTGGAGGGTGATGCGGAGATGAGCCGCGTGCTCGTCTTCGGTGCACGCCACTGTTTTTCTTGGCTTGTACCATTGATAGAGCGATACGATTCTGCCGTGTGGGAACGGATGAGGCAGAAGTTGCAGGCTGTTACAAACATTCTAAACGGCGATTGTTCTCTGTTGCGTGAGGCTGTGAATCTGATGAATAGCGTTAAGGAGGAAATGACGGTGCCTATGCCATCGCCACTGGTTCCACAGCCGGAAGAATTGGTCCGGAGGCGCACGTCGCACATTGCAACTGTGTTAAATGGCGTCGCCCGTTGCTTCCGAGGCCGATTTGTGTCCCCCACCAAACACGTTGGCGCGGAAGCCACGCACCACAGCTATATCGAAAAGTATAAAGCACTATTGGAGTATGGCGAGAAGACGGCAACGCAAGCCACACCGTTGGAGGAAGTCGCAGTATGCCTCAACTGTCTCTCCATCCTGCAGGATGGCTGGAGGTATGTCATTGCACAATTTGAGGAGGACTACAAAAAGGTGCGTAGGGTGACAGGGGCGCCTGGGATATCGTTCAAGAACATCATGGAGGAGGGAAGAGAGCAGCTCACGGACAGAGCAGCCAAGTTGTGCCATTTTGCCGCCGCCTCTATCATCCGCGTGGAGCTCGGTAGTCTCCTCTTTGAAAAATTTATGAAGCGAGATATGCGTGCAGCTCGAAGTATGAGGTTTGGTAAGGCGGCGGTGGAAGAACGCCGTAGCCTCCCCCGCGAGTTCCCCGACGTCACAATGAAGCTTATTTTGCACGAACTGGATAGCGCACTCGCTGCTTTTTATGCACAAGTTATTGATTCCTCCATGCAGAAGGATGTACGGGCCTTGGCGATGCTGCACCTTGTTGGAGCGCTGTACTACGTATACGTTGAGGGTGCGCCGGACCGCTACTTCTACCCGGAGGACTGGGAAGCTATCGCGCAAGAACTGGAGTCTGTGGAGGTCTTTATCCTCGGCTCGTCAAAAGAAAAAACTGCCCACAGAAGTTATGTGAGTGGTCCTGTCGCGCGTAGTCTGGAAATGCTGAAATACCTGAAACAAATTGTGCGATATTGCTTCTCGCAGCCCTCCTCTGTTCTCGTCGATGGCGGTGAGGGTGTGCCACCGTTCGCGCAGCTGCCAGAGACCTCCGACACCTCGCCGTGGTGCAAGTACGTTGTGCGCCGTGTGCTGGAGCGCAGAAAAGACAAGGTAGTAAGGTCGCCATTCAATGCGACTGGTTTTTGGAAAAGAGATGAACTGTAACAAGTCTGCGTGGCGTAGGTGGGCGAATGGGAGAGAGTGAATACTGTCATTCTAGGCGTGTTTTTTTTTCTGTTCCTCCTGGTCCATGTATGCCTGTGTGCTCTTTCATTTTGTATGCGGCTTCATTTGCTTTTTAAATGTTCGAGGTGTCGCGTACCGCCGCCGCGGTTCTGGCGGAGGCGGCCCCCCATCAGCTGTGCTTTGGTCCCATCTCGTATATTGTTATTTTTTGTTGTTGCTGCATTTGGTGCCGGCATTACCCGTCACCCACTCACATACACTGTTTTCATTGTTCCCCTTGCTTGTTGTATGCTATCTGTGGTGTGTTCTTTTTTTATTGTTGTTGTTGTTGCTGTTCATCTTTTGGGGGGTTCCTGATCCTTTTTTTTTTCGGGTGTTCCTTTCATTTATTGGCTCCTCACTGCAGAACACACAAGAGAAAAAAAGAGATACTCGAATCAACTCTAATTGCACATCTAAAGCCATGCGCCGAACTGTAGCCACACTCGCGGGGATCAGTGGAATGGCGGTGTACACTCCACCATGCCGCGTTGCCCTCAAGGACTGGTGCGAGTGGACAGGGAATGACTGGAAGAAGGTATCAAGCGTCGTTGGCGAGTCCTTCCGTATACCAAGCCACAACGAGAATGCGTACACTATGGCCGCTTCTGCGGCACTGCGTCTCATCCTCAACTACAACATCGACCCTACCCGTATTGGCTTCCTCGGGCTCGGAACGGAGAGCAGTACCGATAACTCTGCTGGCTCCATTATCGTGCGTGGAATGGTTGACAAGGCGCTGAAGGAACTCGGCATGCCCTGTATATCGCGTCACTGTGAAGTTCCGGAATTTAAGCACGCCTGTCTTGGTGGGGTGTACGCCCTCAAGAGTGCCGCCCGCTACTCGGAGATTGACGGCGGCGACAAGGTGGCTATCGTCGTTGCATCTGACATCGCCGAGTACGCCTTGGGCTCCACTGGAGAGCAGACACAGGGTGCCGGCTCTGTTGCGATGCTCGTGGAGAAGACGCCGCGCCTGGCGGAACTCAACACCAGATGCTCCGGCTCGGCATCTGACTACCGTGGCCCTGACTTTCGGAAGCCATTTAAGCGTCACTTCATCAAGGAGTACGGCAGTAACACGGAGCACGGCAAAATTCCTGATTTCCCTGTGTTTTCTGGACCCTACAGCACGATGGTGTACTTGGATGAGGTGACGATGGCTGTGGAGAACATGTTGGAGAAGCTGCAGCAGAGCCCGGGAGAGTACTACAGCTCTGTCTCGGCACTCTTCTTCCACCGTCCGTATAACATGATGCCGATTCAGGCCATGTCTTTCCTCTACGCCCGTGGGCTTGCCCGCGCCTCATCGGAGGGGCACAAGAAGTATTTCGAAGCTCTCTGTGCAAAGGCGAAAGTTGAACCGGCTGTGATGCAGAAAGAACTCGCTGTGGTTCCTGACTACTTTGGCATGATCGAAGCAGGTAACGAACCAAAGGATATATTTGTTGCTACAAATAAGGTTGCCAAGGCGCTCCGTGCCGACAAGGAATTCTCTACGCTTCTCAGTGAGAAGATGAGCCTTGGAAGCCCGGCAATGGCGAACTTTGGTAACCTGTACACCGCGTCTCTCCCGTGCTGGGTTGCCGCCGGTTTCGAAGAAGCGTATAACAAGAAGCTCGATATTACAGGTCACCCCATGGTGATGGTCGGTTATGGTTCCGGTGACGCAAGCGAGTCCATCCCGATGGTGCCTGTGAAGGGATGGGAAGAGGCTGCGTCGAAGGTGAACATTGCGGAGTCGCTAAAGAATCCACTGAATCTCACAAAGGAGCAGTACGAGGGGTTGCACAAGGGATCTCTCAAGGAGGACCTCGCCGCGGATAGGCGCCACAAGGAGTTTGTCGTGGGCCACGTCGGCAGCCGCAATGACATGGCCTTCCAGGACATCGGTATTGAGTACTATCAATTCCTAAAGTAAACAAGAAAATGGTTGGGAAGAGTACTTGCATGCGTAGATGACTGCAGTTGTTGGTCAAGTTCTTCGCTCCCCCCACCCACCCTACGCCTAACCCAACTGTTATCTTCGGCACTGTAGCGCGCGCATTTGCATGCGCTCTTTAAAGCAACACAACGAAAGGGAAAAAACAAACGAAAACGGAAGCATGAGTGCGGCGCCCACGGGCAAAGCCCTTCACGAGAGGTTTACTCGTCTACCCATACAGGCACAAACGGTACACTATCTTAGAGTCGTACACGTGAAAATTGGCTCTCCTTCCCCACATCTTTTTTTTGGTTCGAATGGGTTTTTTTTCTTTTGATAGCAAACGTTCAATGCGGAGTGAGGCGGAATATATATATATATATAAATATAAAAATATATATAGAACCATAATGTTTCTTCTTTGCAAAATTGCCTCTGATCAGTTGCGTGTCACACACGCATATCACCTTTCATTTGGTGCTTTGGCGCAGCCGTGTTGTTCTTTCTTTCTTTCTTTTTTTCTCGCTTGTTTTCCTTGTTTTCTGTGGGGGATGAATGCACTGTTTCGATGACAATAGGTGACTGGAGAGGAGCGGAGAGGCTCTGCGGGGCGTATGCCGTGGTGGCAGTGGCGCCGCGAGGCCGAGGAGGCTGCAGCCAAGCAGCAGGAGGCGGAGGCGGCCATGGCAGCAATATTCGCTCCTTCGCACGCCGCCGTAAAAAAGGCATCCAGCACTGATAGCTCCATCCTGCGACTATCTGGAGTGCGTCTGTTCAAGGAGGGGGAGGAGGAAGCGAAGAGGGGAGAGTTGGCAGCTGTCAGTGGTCCTGTTGCTGTTGCAACCCAGGCAAAGATGGCTGAGAAAGTAAATATCGGTGCCGGTATTTCTTCCAACAGGAGCGAAGAGACGAAGGAAACACCGAGTTGGCGTTCACTGCCGCCGAGTCCTATATTGGGCTACACGCTGCGAGAGGAGGGGCTTGTCGATGACCTTGTGAATCCCCCGAAGACTCTCTCGGCCCGGGACGTGAAATCCCTGATTGTCGAGCTTTCCTCCATTGAGCAGCAGGCGAAGTACTCTGTTGACACACAGTTCCCGCAGCAGGTGCATAATAAGGGACGACGCAGCATGGAGCTTGTCATCAGCCCGTGTCTTTTCATGAGCGGTCTGTACCTGATGCTCTGGAAGGCGCCGCGTTTGTACTTTGGCGCTTCTCCTCGGGGTAGTATTGTTTTCACGCGGGCCCTCGCACTGATGCGGTGGTACCTTCCCGAGGTGGAAAAGGAAAGGCTGGCGCGGAATAACCGTAGGCTGTTTCAGGCGACAAATGCGCGGGTCACGTTGTCTTTCCTTACCGGTTGTGGTCTGACGATGATTGCGGTCGCAACGCGACCACCACTCGATGTGGTCGATGTTGGCCCCGATGTGGAGGTTGGCAAACAATCTGTTGGCCTCCAGCAGCACTCGGAGGCCGCCCTGCGGTGGCTGTGGTTCGTGTACTACCACCATCCAGTGTACCGGTCACTCGCTAAAGGAGTGCGCCCGCCCATTCTCCAGGGAGGAGACCCGAGATGCTGAGAGAGGCAACAGTTGGGAAAGGGGACTCATGTGCGTAGCTGTGTATTATTGTTGATTATATGGGGATGCAGCAGCAAAGGTGGCGTACTTTGACGTCTTGTCTCTCTCTCTCTCCTTTTCTATCTCGATCTCAATCGGGGGTTGCTCTGAAAGAATAGTGGTGTGTGTGTGTGTGTGTGTGTGTGTGTGGAGGGGTGGTGGAGCGATGGCGGCGTACGCCCCGCCAGAATATAATGAGGAGCTATTCGCTGTGATGTTGGAGTCGTGTAACCCTTCAAGATCGCGCGTAGAGGCCTTGACGCAGATAGCCCTTCGCCACTTGCCGCGGGCCACGGACACATGGTCGGCTCTGCGGAAGGCACTTGTTCGCCAGCAGGAGCTGGAGTCGGATGAGAATAAGGCTCTGTGGTACCTTCTCGACTCCCTTGTGAAGCACGCACCGCACGTGTTTGTGCCCCTGATAGCACCACGGCTGCACGACTACGTGGTGCAGCAGATGCCGTGGCATCTCGTCGGCGTCGTGTCCACAATGGGCAGCGGGGCACTGTGGTGCGATGCAATGATCCGCACGTGGGAGGGGGTGCTGCCGCCACACCTCTTTCGAAGCATCAAGTCGTTTGTGGTGCAGCTGCGCAGCGGAACGGAACTGACGAACGCGATGAACCTGAATGGCGATAACGACGACGTGCAGACCGTTGATCCCCCAGCGACACAGGAACAGGTGCAGCAGCTGCGGGAAGCGTGGGAGGTGTTCTGGTCATTCACTGCAGAGGGGATGCATGAAGTGAAGGAGGCAGCAGCAGCAGCAGCGGTGGCGACGGCAGCGGCAGCGGCGGCGGCCCCGAGCACGTCAGCACACGTCCAGGTGAAGCGTGAACCGGACCTGCGCGCCGGCGTGGGGCCCAATGACGGTTCGGAGCCCCACAGCAATGATAGCAATGACAGCGATGGTGAGGTGGAGTACGTGCCGGAATTTGTGAGAGGCGCGCAGCACCGGGAGTTGCCCTCCCTAACAGGCGACGGTGCCGCCGCGCAGCGTGTGCGTCGCGCCGCACGACGACGGCCGCGCGACGAGAGTTGAGCGGACGCGGAGGGAGGGCCGTTTTCTGTGTGGGTGAAAGATGCGTGGTTCTACTCATGTTGTCTGGCCGCCCCGGTTGATGGTGGTGTGCTGTTGCTTCTGATACCACTACAATTAGCATGAATGCATAGTCGCGCTCTTTTTTTCTTTTTTTCTGTTCTTTGTGCCCCCCCCCTCCATCCGTCTTCCCGTCGTTGCTATTACTGTCAAGAAGGGGAAGCAATTTAACAAGCTCTTCTTTTTTTTACTAAAGAAAGGTCCGAGGCGTCAGCGTACCCGTCGTCTTATTTCTGCTAAAGAGTATTCGCAATAGAAAAGAAAGAAAAAAAAACAGTAGTGGATAGCTTAATAAAGCTTCTGTGGTTTGCTGATCTCTCTTTTCTTCCGCTCCGACCCCCCGAGACATGTCGTTGTGTCACACCGCTTCTCGCTGGCGCAGTGTGCGGTGCACGGGTGGCGTCCCACCGGGACGCATAGGCCACACCCTGTGCGCCAACGCTGTGGAGACAAAGGTGTTTCTCTACGGCGGCGTCAACGACAAGAACGAGAGTATCTCCAACTACCTGGATGACTTCTACGTATTCGATGTGGAGACGAAAAGATGGACGGCGATCGAAATGACGGGGCAGGTGCAGTCCTCCAGGGCCTTCCACTCCGCCGTGTACTACGAGGGACAAATATATGTCTTTGGCGGCTGTAATGGCCGTGGGCGCTTCAACAAGTTGTTTTCCATTAGTGAGGACGGTAGATGTCAGCCCATCACCGCTAATAGTCCGCCGCCAACGACGCGATATTGTCATAGCGCAGTGCTGTTCGAAAAGAAAATGTACATCTTTGCCGGTAAATGTGGCGGGCGGAACAGCAACAGGCGCCTGAGCGACTTATTCGCCTTTGACTTCACGCGAAATACGTGGGAAGAGTGTCCACAGCATGGGAATAAACCTGTGGCGCGCTCCGCTCACGCCGCCTTCACGTGTGGGCGGAATATGATCATGTTTGGTGGGCGCAATGCGGGGGGAGAGTGCTGCGAGGACATGTACGCGTACAACTACGACACCGGCATCTGGCGTAAGATTGAGTCACCCAACAATGGCTCACTCTTCGGGCGTGCGCGAAACAGTGTCGTGGTGCACCACGGCAGAGTAGTGGTGTTCGGTGGGTGGAATGGTAAGAAGAAGCTCAATGATCTCTTCATGTATTCGGTGGACTCCAACACACTCGAGATGATGCATGAGCCGGACGACAAGTGTCCCTCCAGGCGAGAATGCCACGTTGCTGTTGTCTGCAAAAACACCATGGTGGTATTTGGCGGCCGTTTCCGCGGTGAGTTTATGAGCGACACAGCGGAGCTCGACCTTGGCCCAAAGACACTCAAGCAGAGCTGCCGCGACTGGATCCTGCGCAGTGGCTTCAAGGAGTCGTACCCCAACCGCCAAGGACAGCTGCTGCCACTGCGACTGCAGCAGTTCATTGAGAGCTGGCGGTCGCTGACGAGCAGGGCCCAGAAGGATGAGCCGCAAACGCCACTGCAGGATAGCAACGTCCCCGTCGAGGTGCTCTCCTCCGAGAGCAACTCCCAGCACGGGGGAGGGGAGTGAGACACCTCCTCCATTAACTGCTATAAGGATAGAAAAGCAGCCAAGAGAGAATGTGCAAAGGAAAAAAAAAGCCAAAAAAAAAACAAAAACAAACGAGTATTGTTGGCCTTGAAGAAAACGGTTTAAATGTTGGGAAGGAGACAGAGGCAAGCAAGCAGACAAATAAAAGTCGTTGCAACTCCACAGTATTCCTCTCAACAGATCACGAAAACGACAACAAAAAAACTTCTAGAAGACGCGATGAGGGCTGGGAAGAATTAGCGGCACTGTTTACGTCGGTGGTAGTGGTGGTGGGTGGTAGTGGTGGTGCGTGGTAGTGGTGGTGGGTGGTAGTGGTGGTGGCCATGAGGGAGGGAAACGACAGGCATAAGTAAGCGTGTTGTGGGCCGCTGCGGTGTGGGGCCCGCTATTCTTTTCGTCACTTCCCTCGGCTCGGTGGTACATGCAGAGAACGACGGAGAAACAGCAACGAATGAGACAAAAGAAAAACGAAGAAAAAAAATGAAAAAATGCTATTTTCGCCTCCTTTTGTTGGCGTGTGGGCATGTGAGTCCTTCTATTGTCCCCGCGGGAGTCGCAGTGTGGTGTGGTGTCGAGTGTGCTTCCGGCGGCGGGCGTGGCGGTGGCGCCACTGGTGCCCGCCCGGCTGGGCGAGTGGACGCGCACCAGCACGGGGAATCGAGACTGGAGGTGAAACGAAAACAAAAACAAGGGGGTAAGTGGGGCGGAGGACGAAAATAAGAGGGTGAAGGGGTTTGGTGAGAATGCTGCATTGTCTTTTTTTGTTGTTTGTTTTGTGTTTTGGTGTTTCGATGTTGCTGTCTCTCTTTCTCTCTCTCTGTATGTGTGTGTGTGTGTGTGTGTGTGTGTGTGCTGCTCTGTTTGTCATTTCAGCGATCACCTTCTTTTCTTTTTCTTTTTCGTTCTGCGTGTGTGTACTGAGCAGCGTGTTGGATGTGTTACGCCACGCGCGCAACGGGGGTGAGTGTGTGTGTGTGTGTGAGAGAGAGAGTCAATGGGAGGAAGAGGAAGAGAGGCGGAGCGGGCACGGCAAGGGGTATTTCATAAACGGATTGACACACTGAAGAAGCTGCGAGGAGGAAGCACGGTTCTCTACTTGATGTGTTTGTTTTTGCTGTTGTTTGCCTCCCCTAATCGTTGTTGGTCTTGTGCGACCCTGTCGCCTTATGTGTGTTGTGGTGGGAAGGAGGTGCCGCTCCTTCTCGTCTCCACTCCCACGCCACCTGCTCGATATTTCTGTTTACCTTGTTAATTATATCTGTCCTGCACACAGGCAGCGGTGCGGGGGCCACAGCTGTAGCCCACTGCGCCCTACTTGCAGTGCTGGAAGAATGTAAGAGGGGAGGAGAGGGTGTGGACGCGGAAGGGAAACAGATTGGCGATGGGGGTCGTCTTCGCGGGGCTGGACCGTACAAGCTTGTGGTACAGCCTGGCTCTGCTTTTTTATTTCATTTGGCTTTGTTTTTGTTTCCCAGCCTTCGTTATGCCACAAATCGGGCACCCCTCACTTCCGTGCGTGGAGCCCTCTGTTGGCGCTGTGGCCTGCCCCCCCGCCCGTGGAGCGGCAAGCCTGTTGGGTGTGACAGGCCACGCACACACACACACACGGACGGAGGGCCAACTACGAAACGTCCGCTGGTGGGGCGTGGAGAGCACCGCACATCAGTCATCACCGCCACCACCACCAGAAAATTCCTCTCCTTATTCTACAGCCTATTTTCCGTATTGGGCCTCATTCCTTTTTGTCTTTGCTGCTGCTGCGGAGGCGGCGGGAAGAGATTCCGTCACTCTACATGCGGTCAGGCGTCGCCACGTCTTTTTCAGCTGCGTGATAGCTGCGATGAATGCGTGCAACCACTGCTTATCCGTCCTTTTCTCCCACACCACTTGTATTACCTTTCACGCGGCATACAGCAACCATGGGCATCGTTCGTAGCCGTCTGCACAAGCGCAAGATCACCGGTGGAAAGACGAAGATCCACCGGAAGCGCATGAAGGCTGAGCTCGGCCGCCTCCCGGCAAACACGAAGCTTGGCCCGCGCCGTGTGAGTCCCGTCCGCGCTCGTGGCGGCAACTTCAAGCTGCGCGGCCTCCGCCTGGACACCGGCAACTTCGCGTGGGGCACTGAGGCTGTCGCCCAGCGCGCGCGTATCTTGGACGTTGTGTACAACGCCACCTCGAACGAGCTGGTGCGTACCAAGACGCTGGTGAAGAACTGCATCGTCGTCGTGGACGCTGCACCCTTCAAGCTGTGGTACGCCAAGCACTACGGCATCGACATCGACGCCGCGAGGGGCAAGAAGGCCGCGCAGAAGACGACCGACAAGAAGAAGTCCAAGAAGGGCGCGCACGTCATGACGGAGAAGTACGACGTGAAGAAGGCCTCCAACGAGCTGAAGCGCAAGTGGGTGTACCGCCGCCAGCACCACAAGATTGAGAAGGCGGTGGCCGACCAGCTCAAGGAGGGCCGCCTGCTCGCCCGTCTCACCAGCCGTCCCGGTCAGACTGCACGCGCCGACGGTGCACTCCTGGAGGGCGCTGAGCTGCAGTTCTACCTGAAGAAGCTCGAGAAGAAGAAGCGGTAGGTCAGAGGAGCCTCCCCCATGGCAAGGCACACGATATTCATTTCATTTTGTTCAGTTTTCTGTTAAGTCTTTTCCCAGCGGAGGTGATGGGCGGGTACCTTGAGACCTGTCCATTTTCCTGTGGTGTCACACACACACACACTTGGCATGTATTTCTCTCATCTTTTCTCTCTTTCTCTCTCTCTCTCTCTCTCTNTTCTACCTGAAGAAGCTCGAGAAGAAGAAGCGGTAGGTCAGAGGAGCCTCCCCCATGGCAAGGCACACGATATTCATTTCATTTTGTTTATTTTCGACTTCAATCACAAAAAAAAAAACAGACCTATATTATTGTCGTTTTTTGTCCTTTCTACCATGATGCCTGAAGGTGTGTCATACAACTGCTGGGCGTGGCGCTTTACGTTTGCTTCATTCTTTTTCGCGTGTCTGTGTGTTTTTTTTTTGGTTGTTGTTGTGTTGGGGGTGACGACACGGTGCTTTGTGCTAGATTTTTTTAAAGAAACAATAAGCAATTCACATGGCAAACAGTAAGGACGAGGTGGTGGCAAACTGCATTCGCTGCCTTGCGGCGGACATGGTGCAGAACGCTAAGAGCGGGCACCCCGGGACCCCGATGGGTATGGCGCCCATCTCGCACATTCTGTGGTCCGAGGTGCTCAAATATGACAGCAAAGACCCGTCGTGGGCCGACCGTGACCGCTTCGTGTTGTCGAACGGGCACGGCTGTGTTCTGCAGTACGCAATGCTGCACCTCACTGGCTACAACCTTCCCTTGGACGAGCTGAAGAAGTTCCGGCAACTCGACTCCTGCGTCCCCGGCCACCCCGAGCGTGGCATGACGCCCGGCATCGAGGTGACGACTGGTCCGCTCGGTCAAGGCATCGGCCAGGGCGTTGGTCTCGCCATCGCGGAGGCGCAGTTGGCCGCCACATACAACCGCCCAGGACACAACATCATTGACCACTGGACGTACGTCTTCTGCGGCGATGGCTGCCTGATGGAGGGCGTCGCGCAGGAGTCGCTGTCGCTCGCCGGTCACCTCGGACTGGAGAAGTTTGTGCTGGTGTATGACTCTAACCACATCAGTATTGACGGCAGCACCAACCTTGCCTTCACGGAGAAGTCGAAGCAAAAATACGAAGCACTCGGGTTCCACATCATTATGGTCGACAACGGCGACAACGACTACGCTGCGATGCGCAAGGCCTTCACGGAGTGCAAGGCGGTGAAGGGGCAGCCAAAGATCATTGTGCTCAACACGACTATTGGCTACGGTTCACTTGCAGCTGGTAGCGAAAAGGTCCACGGCGCCCCTCTCGGCGACGACGATATTCAGCAGATGAAGCAGCGCTTCGGTCGTGATCCCGCGAAGAAGTTCGATGTGGAGCAGGAGGTGTACGACGTCTTCAAGCACCGTGTCGCTGCTTGCCAAAAGACTCACGAGGCGTGGAACGCGGCTATGAAGAAGTACGCCACGGAGTTCCCCAAGGAGCACGCAGCCCTGGAGGCGCAGCTCAAGGGCGAGCTCCCGAGCGGCTGGAAATCGCGTCTGCCTCTTAACGACAAGTCCGTCGCGACGCGCAAGGCGAGTGAAAACACCCTTGCGGCGCTTCTGCCCGCTATCCCGGGGCTCGTTGGTGGTTCCGCGGACCTCACACCAAGCAATCTCACACGCCCGGGTTCAGCGGCGCTGACGGACTTCCAAAAGGACACCCCACAGGGCCGCTACCTCCGCTTTGGCGTGCGTGAGCATGCCATGTGCTCCCTCATGAACGGAATGCATGCACACGGCGGCTTTATTCCCTTCGGTGGGACATTCCTGAACTTCGTCGGCTACGCACTGGGGGCCGTTCGTCTCTCTGCACTGTGTCACCACCAAGTGCTGTTGGTGGCGACGCATGATAGCATTGGTCTCGGTGAAGATGGCCCGACGCACCAGCCAGTGGAGCTGGTGGCGGCCCTGCGTGCGATGCCGAATCTGCTGGTGTTCCGCCCGAGTGACCAGACGGAGACAAGTGGTGCGTGGGCACTGGCGCTCGAGAACAAAACAGGCCCCTCAGTTTTCTGCCTGAGCCGTCAGAACACGGTGCCGCAGCCGACCTCTTCAATGGATGGAGTCGCAAAGGGCGCATACGTGCTGCAGCCCGCCGACAAGCCGCAACTTATCATTGCCGCGAGCGGCTCAGAGGTGTCGCTCGCTGTTGACACTGCGGAGGCGCTCGCCTCGGAGTTGCGCGTGGCGGTTGTGTCGATGCCATGCCAGGAGCTTTTCGACCGGCAGCCGCTCGAGTACCAGCAGTCCGTGTTCCCTGACGGCGTCCCAGTGCTCTCCATTGAGCCGTACGTCAACTACGGCTGGGAAAAATACTCGCACTATCATATTGGCATGACAGGCTTCGGTGCCTCTGCGCCAGCAGAAGAGCTCTACAAGCGTTTCAATATCACTGCGGAGCACGCTGCCGCAATGGGCCGCAAACTGGCCGCCAGGTTTGCCAACGGCACTGCGCCCCTGAAGCGCGTCTGCCTGTAAGCCATATATTGTGTATATGAGACTAAAGCGGAGGGCAAAAGGGGTGAAATGGTATTGAGAAGCAAATAAATGCTTACGGAACTGAGAGAATATATAAGACCAATGATCATGATGTTGAAGTAGAGCACAGTAAATAAGACTGTGGGAAAAATGTTTCATTTTTTTTTTTTTCTTTTTTTCTACCTTGGTTGTTTAACAATTCTTCTCTTTCTCTTCTGCGCAAGGGGACAAAACGGCAATTTTATTTTTATGCCTTGGGGATTCCGCAGAACGATACGTCCGTTTCTCTCTGCGTGTGTTTGTGCGTGTCTCTGGGGGAGGCGGCACACACACACACACACACACACGTCGGTATGTGGCGGTTTGCGTAGAAGCTCGTCCAGTTGGAAGCCGTGTTTGTCTCTTTTCATTTCTCCTGATGGTGTAGCGCTCTCTCTCTCTCCATCTCTCTACTTCTTCCTTCCTTCCTTCCTTTGTGCCCATCCCTATTTTTTCGCCACAACGGTTGTCCGCCGCAGTGTCGCAGACTTCCACATGGCCAGCATCAAGTGTGGAAGCCGCCGCAAGGCCCGCCGCGCGCACTTCCAGGCGCCGAGCCACGTGCGCCGCATCCTCATGAGCGCGCCGCTCTCGAAGGAGCTCCGCGCTAAGTACAACGTGCGCGCGATGCCCGTGCGCAAGGACGATGAGGTGCGCGTGAAGCGTGGCGCGTTCAAGGGCAGCGAGGGCAAGGTGACGGCGTGCTACCGCCTCAAGTGGGTGATCCACATCGACAAGGTGAACCGTGAGAAGGCGAACGGCAGCACCGTTGCCGTTGGTGTGCACCCGTCCAACGTGGAGATCACGAAGCTGAAGCTCAACCACAACCGCAAGGCCATCCTTGAGCGCAAGGACCGCAGCACGAAGAGTGATAAGGGCAAGGGCAAGGTGACCGCCGCCGAGAAGGCCATGCAGCAGATGGACTAGACAAGTCAAGAAGAAAAGGCTTTACCCCAAGGGCCGTCTCGCCAAGAAATACTTCTCGAGTGTTTTGTTTTTGGTCTTTATTTTCTAAAAATTTTAACGTTCTTCTTCGTAGGAGATCGGAAAGCCAAACAGATAGGCTTACTCTTTTTTACCCCCATTTTTTTAGTGGTTGTGAGAGCCATGCATTGAGTTCTTCTGTCCTTCTTTTTTCTCTTATTCGCCTGTGTATTCGACTGCTTATTCCATGTGTTTGCAAACAGTACAGTGCATACTGTTGCAGGCCTGCATGGCAACAAGAAAGCAACAAAAGTGTTGGGGCGCGAGGTTCTTGCATAGAGCTACTATATGAGAAAAGGGGGAAAAGGTGTATAGACGATGATTACGCGCCTGGATGCAGCAAGCGCACGGAAGCTGAGTGCAGGCCAGGTTATTACGGATCTCTCCAGTGTTCTAAAGGAGCTGGTAGAGAACAGCTTGGATGCGGGGGCGCACACCGTCACGATCCGCATAGATAATTACGGTCTTGACAAGATCGTTGTGCATGACGATGGTGGTGGCTTGGCAGTGGGCGAGCTGCTGAACAGCGACGGCACCTTGAAGGATGGTGTTGTTGTGCCTCTGCTCGCGTGCCGTGCCACAACAAAGCACCAATTGGAAGACAACAGAGCCGTGGCGCAGGTCCGCGACTCTCTGGGATTTCGTGGCGAGGCATTGCACTGCCTCGCTAACCTGAGCGAGGTAACCATTCATACCATGACAACGGAAAGTCAGTCTGCAACAATAACTATTGCATACGAAAGCAGGTCACATCACACAAGCTTGCGAGCTACACAGGAACGCAAGAGCCCTGGGACAACAGTTGTGGTGGAGAAACTATTCAGCGTTCTACCTGTGCGTCACGGGGAGTTTAACAAGAAGAAGAAGAAACAGCTCCTCGCTGCCACCTCACTCATGAAGCAGTACGCCCTTTCCCATCCACATGTGCGCCTGCTGATGACGCACCACTTGAACGCACAGAGCGCACCATCCACGCTGGTCTCGCTGACAGGCACGAACGACATCCACCGCGCACTGGCAGAGGCGTACGGCGGCCGCTACCTTGCTGACATGAGACGGGTGGAGTGGAACTTGTCGTTTGGCACCCTCACTGGCTTTGTGTCAAAGGGGAACGGTGGACGATTTTCTGCAGATCTGCAGGTGTTGGCACTGGACGGAAGGCTTGTGGACCTTCCGATGATATCGAAAGCTATCAGCGATGCGTACGCAGAGTGCCAGCCAAATGCGGCTCAGCGTTTATACCCTGTGATTTTTCTGCACTTGACCTCTGGTGACAGTGTGCTCTATGATGTGAACTTGGCTCCCAACAAGCGGAAGGTCCTTTTGACGGAAGAAGATAAGCACGCGGAGGAGGTGCGTTCGCGGGCATTGCATGAGTTCCGGGCATCAACCGACAGCATTGACGTGGACAGGCGCACACGTATTGAACAAACACAGTTAAACGACTGGAGGGCTACCCAGTTAACAAAGCTCACTCGCACTCCTGTTTCAGCTACATCACTCACTCAGTTCACGTTTCAGCGTGCTGAACCCGCATTGTCTTTGTCGTCCCCTGACGGGCTTGCCTCGAGCACGGCGGAGCTGTCGAAGATGTGCTCCTCCCTCTACCAGAGCCGGATAGCGGAAACAACGAGTTCCTTGACGGGCACGAACCCAAGCACTAGCAGTAATGACAGCAGTAGTTCTGCCTCTTCGCAAGGTTCTTTGGCGGATGATGCGTCTGACAGAGATTCCATTCCTATGACGCGTGCACGGAAGCGTGAGCGTATTGTGGACTCGTCAGAACCCGTTACTCAGTCATTGGAAAGCAAGGACGAAAATGAGGATGACACCGCGTCAACCGTGTTCTTGACCGACGAGACGAACCAGCAGCGACCTGCCGGCCCTCGGACAAGTATGCAATTTCCTCCACTTAAGGAGTTGATGCAGCAGCCATTGATTCATGCTGCTGTGCCCGTTCAAAAAGAGCGGAAGCAGCGGGGGACGTTTGCTAGGATCACGGAACAAACCGAGGAAGAGCTCGCAACACACCTCAACAAGGGCTCTTTTAAGGATATGATTCTGCACGGGCAGTTTAACCATGGCTTTATTATGGCTTCGTTTAAGGACGACATGTTCGTGATTGACCAACACGCTGCAGATGAGAAATTTAACTATGAATGCTTGATGAACCAGTACAAAGCGAGGCCACAGCCACTCGTGGTTGCTGTACCGGTGCCGATGGATCCACAGGATGTGGACCTGGCAATACATCACAGCAATGTGCTGCGGCAGCACGGCTTCATTGTGAAGCGTAGCGAGGACGCCAACAAGCTTTTAGTATTGTCGGTACCCGTCCTTCAGTACGAGGTGGTGGGCCCGCACGACGTCATGGAGCTGGTACAACAGTTGGCACTATACGGCACCATCAACAAGCCGATGCGCAGTGTTTGGCACTCTATGGCGACGAAGGCATGTCGCTCGAGTATTATGATTGGCACAGTCCTAACTGAGAAGACTATGCGTTCTGTTGTGAGCCGACTGAGTGAGCTGGAGCAACCTTGGAATTGCCCTCATGGACGACCCACATTGCGTCACGTCGCTCGTATCTCGTCCTTTATGGTTGCAGGAGAGGCCGATCTTTCAATGTGATGCGACACTTGGAAATCTAAAACCCAGCCACCTGCTTTTTCTTATCCAATTACTACGCGTGAGTGAAGAATGCACAGGGTCAACTGCTGCTGATATCACTACCGTGCCTCATTGTGAAGTTGTTGGTGTAGTTGCTACATTTCTTATTATTGTTATTGTTGTTGGATTCTGTTCTTTTTTTTTTCTCCTTTCCGCTTCTGTGGCTCGTGTCGAAGGGAAGAGAAGGAGGTGCTGAGAGTAGAACGGGTTGTGCCCCCCCGCCGTTCTGAAGTGCGCGCAGTGAATGGATGCACACGCACCTCTGAGGAGTGGGGTAGCGAGTAGTGCATGCTCCGACCTACGGGAGCTGAACGAGGCAAAGGTGGTGAACATCCTCGCCTACTTGGAGAGTGCCGTAATGCCGCAGCAGCAGCAGCAGCAGCAGCAGCCGCAGCCGCAGCATGAGCTGTGTACATCGGAGAGCATCCCGCTGACACCGTCGACTACACCGAATCCCGCACAGTACGAAAGACCGCCGTCCGCGTCGCTGCTGCAACAACAACAAGAACAACAACAACATCTGCCTAGTGCCTCCGCATCATGTCTCACATCGTATATCATTGGGGGAAGCCTTGAACCGCACATTGGTGTGTACCACGGCATTAAGGCCAAGATCGAGGCCCTGCGCTACAGCAATGACGAGCTGCGGGCGGAGAATGATGAGCTGAAGGCGAGACTAAGCACTGCACGGCAGCGAGAGGAAGAGCGTGTGGGGAAATCGCAAGCTCTGGCGCGCGAGAAGCTGGAGTCGCTACGTGCTGCGATTTGTGAGTCGGAGAAAAAACACAACCTCACACAACAAGAGCTTCTGCGCGAGAAGGGGCAGCTCACTAAGGCAGTGGAGTCGCTTACTTCGCAGCTGCGGCAGGAGATGTCGAAGCGAGAGGAAGAGGTTGCGAAACTGGAGTCCGCCAATGCGGCCGCTATTGCGCAGCTCAAGACGAAGTGGCAGGCACAGGAGAAGGCTGCGCGCGACAAATGGAAGATGGCGGAGGCGAGGCGCATCAAGGAAAGTACACTGCAGTCGTTGGAGCCCGACATTGTTTTGCTTCTGAACCGACACAAGGCAGAGAAGGCGCGCATGCGGGAGGAATTCGAGAACGAGTTGCGGCAGCGTGACGAGGTCATTGCTGCAAAGGAGGCGACGCTGGAGGAGGCAAAGGCGAAGTTGGCGCGCGACGCTGAGACAATGATGGCTCGTGAGCAGAAGGAATTTCATGAGCGCCTTGCGGCTGAGGTTGAGCGCGTGAACCGCCAGCTTGAAGAAGAACGACGCGCAGCAAAGCAAAAGCGCGACGACACTGAGGCGTTTTTTGAAGAGCAGAAGACTACGATGCAGCGCGAGATTGCGCGGCTACAGAAGGAGCTCTTTGTGCTGAAGGAAGCGGCCACAACGGACAAGGCCACGTTTCATGACGCAGTGGCGAAGGAGGTGGCGAGCATCACTGAAAACTCCAACCAGATCCTTGCAAACCTGAAGGAGAAGCTCATGTGGGAGTCCAGCCGCAGGGAGGATGAGACACAGACCCGCAACGCGCAGTACCTGGCGGCGAAGGAGGAGGAGCTTCGACGCAAATGCGAGGCGGAGCGCGACGCCGCTGTGGCGGAGGCGACGCGGAGGCTTGAGCAGGAGCGCATGAAGTCCATTACGGAGTCGCACAGCAACGACAGTTTGCTGCGCGACCGCTACGCGCAGATAAGTCGGGAGAACGAGCGACTTCGGGTTGAGGCGGAGTTGGTGCAGGAGCAACTGAAGGCCGCCCTCGACACGATTGGGCGGAAGGAGGAGGAGATGGCGCGGCTGCGAGAGGCGGCGGATCTCACTGACCAGCGGGTGAGGGCAATTGAGAACAAAATACGCGGCGAGTGTGACACGCGACTCCACGTGCTCGACGCTGAGTGGCAGCGGAAGCTGCGGCAGTTCGAGATAAGGCACGTGGAGGAGGTCGGCACGATGCAGCACGAGCTGGAAAAGGCGGCCATAGATGTAGAGGCTGCAAAGAATGCAGCCACATTGGAACAGAGGAGCATAGAGCAGAAGCACAACGCGGAGCTGACGAGTATTAATGAGCGGGTGCTGGTAGCACTCGCCACGAAGGACAACACGTTGAAGGCGCAGGCGGAGCAGATAAGTCTTCTGCAGGAGGCACTCCGGCTGCGCGATGAGCACATCGCCAGGCATCGCGAGTTATTGTGAGTCGTTGTTTTGCATTCCAGGAGAGCCATGGATTCCCCTCTTTTAAAAATGCCTAGTTGAATGGAAGAAACAAAGTGAGTTTGTGTCTCTGCATATGTCTGAGATGGCCAAAAAAAGTGAGAGAGGGGCACCGATTGTACTTGTGTCTTTGTGTGGAACATGCATTCAGGTCTTTTCGGAGTTTGAGACTTTTATTTTACTTTAGTCTCTGTTCCTTTCTTCACGTTGAGCGGCAGCGTATGGTAGAGGACGATGCAGTCGCAGAGCTATTCCTCTTTTTACATGCGGATGCGTCAGACCTACGCTCCGGGTGCACACCAGCAAGAGCATCATGCTAATGATGATAGTCCTCAGCATCAGCAACAGCAGCAACAGCAGCAGCAGCAGCGCCGCTCTGATGTAATGGATGCATCTCCGGAGACTGCTTACGCACCCCCATCGCTATGGAGCCGTGGTGCCAGTAGCGTAGAGAAGTCTAGGCCGCTTTCGGAAGTAGTGGCGCCGCCGCCGCCACCGCCGTCGTTCCGTGCCCGGCAATCGGAGGGGCGTTACGACGTGGGTGCCCTGGCCGAGATTCAACAGAAGCTGGCAGCCATCCAAAACCGCGGAAGTCCGGCTCAATACGAGGTTCCACAGCAACGACCACACCCACACCCACAGCCGCAACAACAACAGCAACAGTCAAAACAACATGAGCAGATTGTACCCTACTCTCCCTCTGCGGCGCAGCCGGGCGTTGACTATAAGCCTGTGGGTGGGTGTGGCGCCCCAGTGGAGCGTAGGGTGTCACCATATTCACCTGTTATATCTTCTCCGTCCTCGCGTTCCTCTAAACATGAGGAGCTTCACGACAAGTTCACCACGAAGAATGTCCCTCCCACGCCTGCTGCAGGGTGTGGCGGGGAAGCCGACGATGAGGTATTGACACCACAGGAACTGACCTTCCTGAGAGTGGTGGAGTTTGCTGTTCCCGTTGCAGTCTACGCACAGCTGGAGCCAACGGCAGGTATCGTCGCAGTGTGCGAGCAGGCAATCGCAAAGCTGTTCCCTCAGCATCTCGTTCTTATTCGTCCGGATGGTGTTGCGGCTGTCGAGTTGGTCATTGAAGAGCTCTGCGAGCTGAACGAGGATGAGAAGATATGTGCGCTGGACTGTGTTGTACAGGCGAAGGGCACAACTCGGCGGCAGCTCATCCGCGTTGTCTGCCCTGACTCAATTGCGCGCGGCACGCTGTTTAAACTTGTGTGTGCGCGGAGAACACAGTTAGAGAATGCCAAACGGCAGCAAAAGAACGGCCACGCCCCTTAGAAGAAACGAAAAAAAAAACATGTATGTCTGTGTTTTTCTATCCACATATCGTCATTGCAGTTTATGGTTTTCTCTTCGCTTCCGCGTCTCCGGCCGTCCTGTTGTCAACGATTTGTACCTCCGATGTTTTATTTGTGCCCAAGGGTGGGGGCAGCAGCACTCACAGCAAATGCTGCCCCAGCTTGTATCTATGCAGGTACAACGCTTTCTCTCGCATTCTTGCGTGCTGGTTGAACGGACGGTTGCTACTTGTATGTGCATATGTGTCGGTGTAATTTGGCAAGGTAGGATAGCCGCGCAAAGGAGAATCACACTCATACAAGAGAGCAGTATCATCAACAACAACAACAACAACCAATACATACGGGAGTAAGTCTGTTTTGAAGAACAATATCGATGCATCTCACATCTAAAAACGTTGCCGAGTTCTGGAACGAAGTGTGGTCGATGAACAACACAGGATGGAAGTTTGGGGAGCGCGGGGCCCCGTTCACCCGTATCCTCTACGCGTACCTGCAGGGCGCCGGTGTTGTGGCCACTGATGATGGTTCTAAGGCAGACGCGAATGAGGAGGTGAAGTACGACGCCGTACGGCGCTTTCTCACGGAAAAGACGGTGCTGGTCCCCCTCTGCGGAGACTCCGAAGTGCTGCCGTACATGGTGGGCTGCGGGGCCGCGCACGTCATCGGCGCCGACCTCAGTGAGCAGGCGCTGCACACACAACGGGTGGTGAACTTTGCGAACTTCCACTTTCACTCCAAGAGGCTCGAGCGCGTCGATGGCGCGACGCGGGAGGTAACAGTGCACGAAGCCACCGACGGCGGGCGCCGAGTCACGCTCTTCCACGGCGACATCACGGAGCTGCCGCTCTTCACGGCGTACACCACGCTCAAGGTGGACTTCATGTACGACCGCGCTGCGATGATGGCAGTCCCGCCGGACCTCCGCCCCGCATACGTGCGGGCTGTGACGAAAGTCCTGGGCGCCAACGCCGGCGTCGCCTACGAGCGCGTGGTGCGGCTTCTGCCGGAGGAGCAGAACTTCGGTCCACCCTTCATGGTAGATATGGAGGAAGTGCGTAGACTCTACAGGGAGGCCACCGGTCGTGACTACGCGGCGGTGCTGGTGCTCACCTTTATGGTGGAGGGCCCGCGGCACCCGGAGTGGTACGCACTTCTGCCGCACGCGTAGTCACCAGGCGGTTGCTCACCGGCAACAGCGACGGGCGCATGAACGAGTGGGGGAAAAGGGCAGCGCGCGTGAAGTGCGACTGTGAGATAGCGGAGGGGGACAATCGGAGTGGTTTAGTGACAGGTGAGATCAGATGCCTAGCAAGATGTTTCACTACTCTTATTACCTGTGTCTTTTTTCGCCATTGTTATTGTTGTTTGGTTCCCCACGTTTTGTTTGTGGTGCAGCGGGGTGGGGGCGAAGGGCATTATGACGCAGCGCGTTACGATTCCCGACAACTCGGTGTTCGAGGGATACGGGTACCTTTACCGTGACGAGGCGGAGGTTCCGCCGCCGCTGCAGACCGCTAGTACGCAACACGGCGACGGCGTCATGTACTGCAGCCTCAACAATGACGAGGCGCTGCGGCAACTTCGCGCCGCACTCCGCGTAGATGTGCCCCCGCAGCTAACGGCAGCCCTACCAAACGATAAACCCGTTGACGTCGCAAAAGCGGCAGTAGCTGCAACTACTATTGCACCTCATCGCTGGGTGTATCCGCCAGATGCCCCACCGTTGGGACCGCTACCGTGGTCGTCGTTGTCTTCTTCTTCCTCCGGCACGAAATACGAAATTGATAGAATGAAATCGCAGTGTCGTATTCTGCATGATTGGATGATGTGCCATGATGGGCCTGAGGAAAGGGTGGCGGCGAAGAAGTTTTTGTGCACTGCGCGGATGTTGCTGTGCCGCGAGTCGGTACAAGAACTGTTGGGTCGCACAGAAAGCCTCCTCCAGGAGTTGGAGGCGTGGCCTGCAGTGGTCAACGCGGCACGGGCACAGGTATACGACTGGAGCAATGACACCACGTTGAGTGGAATACATGAATTCATAAAGGATGTGATGCGAACGGACGAGGCCTGTGCTCGGCTGGCGGAGCTGATGGACCGTTTTTCTCTTGTCGCCCCGTTAGTGGAGGAGGCGGCCTTCCGCTCGGCAGCGCTAGAGGAGATTCAAGAGTGGTCATCCGAGAGTCTTGTGTCGTCACTGCAAGCACTCCAGGGTTCGATTCACGAATGGAATGCACGCGCTGAGAAGGATCGGCAAAGCATAGTGACCAGTTCCAATTTACTGCTAGAGCGGATCACCGCAATCCAAAATAAGCGGCATCAAGGATTGATCTGAGAGTGGCTTGTGATCTTTTGCATTCCCGTGTGTATTGCTTCATTGGAGGCCCGCCTCCCTTTCTTTATTCTTTCTGTCTCATCGCCTGCTGCAAGTGTTTTTTTGTGTTCCCGCTTCCCCCTTTCTGTTGCTGCGAGTGTAGATTTCTCGCGCATGAGCGCCACAATACTGCACGATGTGAGCGGAGAGGCGACGACGGCAGCGGCGGCAGGGGATATCTTCAACGCTCTTCATGTGCTTGCGCCCGACGGCGAGGCGTACATCCCGCCGTTCTTCATCATGACGGCTGCCCGTGAGATGGGGTATTATCCGACTGCACAGCAGCTGCAGAGCAGCCTCTCGGAGGTTGTCGGCCGCGGGGATCGCTTGACGCTTCCTCTATTCATGCAGCTGTGTGCCCTGCTCGAGTCGACGCGGGCCTTGGACAGCGACACCATCCACCTCTACAAACGCGCCTTTGACGTTCGCAACACAGGTGTGCTGAACAGAGGTGAATTTCGCACTATCATTGCCACATCCGCCGCAACGGACATTTCGTCTAGCGAGATTGAGGCCATAGTGGAGCTGCTGGATCCGATTCACACGGATTCTATCCAGCTCCATGCTTTGCAGTCGATTCTCATGCGGTATCTGTCCAAGGATTCAAAGAACGTTCGTGAAAGCTCCTACACACCGCGAAGTGCGCGCAAAGAACCCGTACCAGCAATGGTGGCGTCATCAGTATGGGACGATAATCATCTGAAGCCCCGATCACTTAATGTGAACGAATTCAACAGGAAGCCGTTGTCGAGCGTACCCAGAAAGAGTAAAAGTAGCAAGAGCATGGAACGAGTACCCGTAGGTGCAATACCAAACTCAGTCCATGAAGGGTATCACAGCTGCTCCACACGCACGGAAGCAGATGCGGCCGAAAGAAGGCATGCGTCGCCATTCGCGTCAGCGCCGGACGACATGACAGACAGCAGGGGCGAGCCGTCGCCTGGTTTCCCACCACCACAGACAACGGCTCCGTCGCCATACACGAGCGGCCCCGTCACACGTGCCACAAGCCTGCAGCAGAATATGCAGCCCCGAGAGCCACTCCTCCAACCGAAAAGTATGACGACACCACTGCAACCGTCACGTGGCGGGAGTGCGAATGAGCCGCCGTGTGTGGTGGATACGGCGGAGAAACCGTCCGTGCGCATGTCGGAGAGGTCGCGCCATTCGGCCACACCTCCCTCGCATGTTCCCTACACACTGATGCCGTTCGTTGATGCATGCCCTGAAGGGACGGAGCTGCAGGCGGAGGACGCATCATTGCAGCTTGGCAGCGCTCAAAATGGCGCAGGCAGTACGAGACGAACGCCGCCCGAACCAACACCGGAGGAGTTGAGGGATATCCCTCTAGATGACACGTGTAGCGCCCACGACATGAGTGGTGGCTTGCTTTCGCAGGGTGATGATGCAACGCCAGAAGGTTCCACACTTCCTCGGATCATTTGTGCGCCAACAAATGTTGCGATAGAGGATGGGGCTTGTATGGGTCAGGGGAAGGCGCGGCCCAAAGTATTTTGCGACAATTGTTGCCAAATGTTCTAGAATAGATTTTTTTTTCCGATGTTTATTTATTTTCTCGTTACACTTTTCTTTGTTTTTCGTACCCTTCTCCCCCCCTCCCCTCCACTGGGAGGTGCTCGCATACCCTGATCTCTGTGTGTGTGTGTCTCTCTCTGGGGAGAGGGGCGCGGGACATTTTGGGCACTTGTGCTTCGCTGCGTCTACAACCTGCTTTTTTTTTTTTTTATTTGGTTCATTCGTCCCGATGCTGTGGTGCCTTTGTATATGGTGTTCTAATTCCCTGCCACTCCTTCACCATGAGTTACACGAGGATGTGCCATCTTTTCTCCCATCTCGTTCCTGTTTCTTTCTGTTTCGCTCTCTCTCCTCCCTCCCATATATATATATATATATGTATAAACACTGCGCACACCCGAAAGTTGTAAGATCTGCGGCAAATAAAAAAAAAGCGTCTTTTGGCACTGTTTTACTTCCCAGCTCACAGCATAGTTATTGGATATGAAGCGCACGCTATCCAAGGAGCAGCTGGCGGATTTAGCCCAGCAGGCAGTCAGTAGCCTACGACGTCTTATGTCTTCTAGCCAAGAAGTCATGACATTGACACAACAGGATCTCCTCTCAACATCCAAATCGATTGAGGAGTGCTGGCAGAAAAAACACCTTGCTGCGGATATTAGTGTGGTAGAGCTCTGGGCATCAAGCTTTCAGGAAGAGCTCTCTTTTCAGCTTGAACGTAGTGGCGGCAGGAGCCTAACACATAACGGTAATGCTCCAAGACTTTCTACTGAAGGTCCGATAGCAGGGAAGAAGGCCGCACTGCGAAAACCAATCGGGGAATCAGCAATATTGATGTGCACGGATGTGCTTAAGATTCTTATGCGTACCAACGGAGAGAAATCAGCCGATATTTTTCTCCAATGTCATCTGACAGCTTGTATGATAAATTATTTGATGCAGGTTCCCTTAGCAAAAAAGGTGCGGGACGCCTTCTCTTCAGTCTTGCTGGAAGTCATAGGGTACAACTCGTTGCTGCTCGAGGAATGCCTGGTTGTTAGCCACGGTCATTTGGTGCCGGATACAGAGCAGATGAATGCCTTTGTGGTGACTTCTCAGCAGGTGCACTTGGCGTGGTTGCTTGCACTGGTTTTTCGCCGGGTTGACGTCAACAACGTCCCTGTGGAGACGGCACGTATCCAGTCTGGCCGAAATGGCTTCCTATCGGGCTTGCTTCGTGCCTGTTCAATGCTAGCTGGCGAAGGTGTTGAGGGGATGAGTGAGGGAATGCAGATTACGTCTTGTCTAGCATACCTTGGTTTAGTGAGTTCCCTGGTGCGGGGATGCGCCGCGAACAAGGCACTTTGCCTTGGTCGGCATCGTGAGGAGCTCACAAGAGTGTGGGTACATGCAGCCTCAAACATATGGAAGGTTGAACTAACGCTGCCCATCTCCACCAACACACCCGGGAAAGATGCACTTCTTGCTGTAGAAGGAGTGCAGGCTTGGGCCTCTGAGCTGACCGATTTTCTGGTGGAGGTTGCTACCAGCGACAGCTTTTCACTTAGGCGACAGGCAATGCATGAGAACTCTATGAACAACAATGGTAGCGCAGATGCAATGCATACGAATGGCTCACCACCATTGTCACCGTCTCCGCTGTCTTCTCCAGGGGTGAGCCGCGCCAATAGGCGTTATGAGCCACTACCCCCACATTGGGATGCCATATTGACGGGAGGCTCACCCCCTTTGTGGCGTCTGGCATCTCTTCTTTTTAACTGCGTCCTCTCCGAGGAAGGCTGCGGCTTCATTACAGAAGCTTTGCTCCGCATGGACACACAGAACGCCACTTCAGAGCTTATATACCGTAGTAACATTGCTACACTTATGTTGTTGTGTATATCGACGCCCCGAAACGTTGAAGTGCTCGCGAAAAGTTCCATTGTTGAAGCGCTTATTGCACTCATCACTTGCCGCCAAGAAAGTGTGTTCTCCCGTGAAGTGGTTGTCCTAGGAAAGGTGTGCACACCAACGCACGCGCTGAGTGCGTATGCGGTTCAACTCACGGTATCCTTTATGAGTACGATGGCTTCATTATACATGGCTGAAGGGACGCTGCCTAGGCTTAAGCGTGGTGTGGAGAAAATGTGCCTGCAACAGACATCCCAAACGGATGCCGACATCATTGAATCTTTTCTACATGTTCTCAGCTGTACAGGAGTTACTCGGAGTGTATTGTTTTTCTCTGGTAGTGGCAGTGTCGTTTGCAAAATTGACCGATTTTCTGCCACCCGATTCTATGGCTATAGTTTCGCAGCGTGGGTGTTCCCAAAGTGTGTGTGGTCCGAGGGGAGTCATCTGTTTTCATACACGGACAATTCTTCCGGGACCTCTGTTGTGTTGGCGATTGTTGCGAATGGTCGCTCGTGTAATTTGTTATTGCGGGTTCAACATGCAAATGATGTGACGCTATCCCTCATTCCGGATACATCTTTCCCGGCAGATGCGTGGTCGCACCTGGCATTCACACATAACCTCTCGGGGTTTACACTCTTCCTCAACGGAAGGCGGACGGAGAATGCTCTGTCTGTCCCTTTTCCGAAGACTCCTTCAAAAAAACAACGTCTTCAATTGGCCTTTGGCGGTTTTCATGAGGGATCATCTTTCTTTGGATTCATTGCGAGCATTGAGCTGTTTGACAACACCCTCACTGAGAAGGAAGTGCAGCGAATGCATCAGGCGGGGCCGCGGCCGTCACGCGAGTTGTCGTTGTCGTGCCACCCCTTACTTAGCGTAGAGAACCAGGTTGTTGCTGGCACAAATCTATTTAGTGTCGGTGTGACAGGTAACCTGGCGGCGAAGCATGAGGGTGTCTCGGTGCATAGTGTTGTGGCGTTTAACCCACCCAATATGCAGGAGCGGTTTGTGTGCGAGGACGTGGTGAACTGGGCGCTCCGCACTCTTGTGGAAGCGAAGAAATCACCCACCTCCTTTCCTGTGGCCGCCAGACTCTGTGTGAAGTTTGTGTGCACCGCGATGAAGTTGACTACTACAGAAGAGGAGTTAAATCGCATGGTTGATGAAGTTATGATGGGGCAGCTGAGAGAGGAAGTACTGACGTGGAGTATCATGCCAATTGAGGTGCCTGCCATACTCATCGACTGCACCCTCCCGCGCGGTGGTGGAAAGGTAATGCGCACACATCACACCACCCAAATCATTCTCTCGCTTCTGCTTGACGTTGTCAGTGATCAATTTGTGAGCGCCTGTGCCACTTCTTGTATCCTGCGTGAGCTAAGCGACATTCTGCTGCTGACAGAGAATCTTGCCCTATTCCGTGCGGTGCCGGGTCGATTCAGGAGGCTCCTTGCAGTGAGTGTCCACCTGCCCCTGGAGTGCGTTGAGAATCTCATCATACTTGTTGAGAGGTTGTGCAAGGAACAGCGTGAGATGGAGCAGACGCTACAGTTTCTTCTCTCTGAGCCTGCCTCGAGAACGAGTGATTTTGTAAAGGCAGAGATGCTGCATATGCTCTTCGATATCGCACGCACCAACCCCGCCATGTGCGACCTTATCGGCGGTGCATTCGGGAATTGTGGTGTCTCGTTCTTGATTAGCCTCGTCGGTGGCAAGAACCACACCAGTGAGGCGATTCGTGTCTTCGCCCTCCGTATCATTTCCCTTATGCAGCATACCAACAAGAAGTTCCGAGAGATGTTTGTTAAGTCTCACGGCTACGATGTGCTTGCAGCCGTCATGACAAAGCCATCTTCGGTCCCTATCCGCTTGGCAACCTTCAACTGCTTGTTCCAAATGGCGTTCGACACCCTGCAGCCCACCACAGAGGGTGACAGCATTTTAACGCATTTGCAGCAGGGCGCTAGCTCTAAGGTAAGGCGGCGTGCGATGAGGCATCAGGATCCCAACACGCTACCGAAAGGTGGAGTGGGGCAAAGTCTCGGGCTTCAGGGATACTTCCCCGGGATGGTCTCACAAAAACTACGTGTTACAAGGCGTGAGTATAGCTTCGACACAACACACGACTTCGCCCACAACAAGGATGCACGGCTTCTCCTTGATGATTCACATAGAGGCCTTCGGACCAGGGGAAAGAGCAATACTGCCATTCAAGAGCCACAAGCTATTTATATAATACTGTATCTCCTTGGGCACCTACTTCGCAGTGTGAGCACAGCCTACACAAGTTCTCTTGCTGCTCCCCGAGACCCCGTCATTTCACGTGAAAGCAGCACTGATGCAAATGCAGCGGCACAGGATGATCGAGTTGGCAACAACGCCGTGGACAACGTGAGTACCGCCTCCATTGTTTCCCCAATACAGGAAGACACTCCAGAGATAGTCTCACTTCGGGTCCTTTGTCACCTGGAGAAAATTGTTGACCGTCCCGAGAACGGCGAGATGCTGTTGCCTTACCCATGGCTGACATGGTTGTGGGATGCCGTAGGGCAAGTGTTTGGCCCCGCCAGCGGAAACGGTGTAGACTCGCCACCGAAGTTCCCTAAGAAACATGCTGCTGCATTCCAACAACGCATGCGTAACATCGTGCACAGCCTAGCTATACTAGACCTTAGTCGTAACTCAAAGGCTGGGATTGTGCGCATCCTACGGCAGACGGATCAATCACCACTCTTAACAAAGCTTGTACTTGAAGATATTGTCTGCCATTTCACAAAGAATCGATGTGAAATCAGTGATAAAAGCACGGCTGCTAACATCATTAAGAATCTCGATTCCCTATTCCACAACATTGAGGAGGTGCTACGCCCTCTTCCACTTGCGCTTGGGTTGGAGATTGTGAATTCTATTAGTGCTATTGCTGTGAACAACAATTCATGGGTGCGCACCCGGATGAAAAACACGAGTCACCTTTTCGAGACACGAAATCATTTGGGTTTCGTGATCCTAGTGACGACCAAGAAGTTTTCCAAGCTTGATCCCGTCATGCTTGGGCAATTGCTGGAGGCCAACGAGCATGAACCAAACACTATCCGGGTTTTGCTGCGTAGGTTAATAACTGCGGCGTCTAACTGTGACGCCGATGAGGTCGAAGTGCTGCTTGCGGCGGCACGCCGGCTTGTCAACGGCGATCAAAACCACTATCAGGCGGTATTCTCCATTATCGGCGCGGAGTACCGCAGTTTCGCGGATCTGCTGTGCGGTGGCGTTGGTGGGAAAAGTGGGTCCTCTTCGCTTAATATTGAGCGTCCTTCGCTTAGTCCATCCTTCTTGACCACTCGCTCTGAGGAGAAGGCGAATGCTGATGAGCTGCCCGCCTCAGAGGTCATTCAATGGTGCCGTGAGGATGAGGGTCGCTGGGAGATAATCAGGCTGCGTGTATGGCAGGCAACCAAATTCCTTGATGCAATACAAGACGAGGATGTTCGTGACGGCAAGAATAAAAACCAGGCGGTCAAGACAAAGCGTGTAGATGATCGTCGGCAAAGTATCCAAAATAAAATTACACTTGAAATAGAACGTATCTCGCAGGATGTTGACTCTAGGCTTTGTGTGCACAGTAGCGCTGGTAGCAGCGCCGTTCTTTCCCCCAGCAACAGCCTTGTGAAGCCATTAGCAGCAACAGTATCCGCGGAAACAACGACGACTCCAACGGAAGTGACGAGGGTCCTACCGCTTTGAAGTACCATTGAATGCAGTAACGGTGATTGGAATTTACGCGCACATACATAGACTGGGTCTAGCTTCGAATCGATTTTCGCTGCTGGTCGTTCATATATATAAATATATATA